CTTTTAGATGGCACGGCTCGACTTACGCTTTAAAATCGTATAATGATCATGAAATTTGGTTCGAGATATGCCAATTTTTTTTATTAAAATTTAATGTTTCCAATGATCTACTTAGTAGATAGTAACTTTAAAGTCTTATGAAGACAGGATGAGCCCAACTTCTTATCGAGGATTCAAGCTTAATGATTGCAGGGATTTTTGGATTCATTCATTCTACTTGCATATCATCCAACATAATTAACCGTAAGCGTCCACAAATGCAGCTAACTTATCCACAATCCACAAAGTTCGCTCAAATAAATATTGCGCGCTGGAAATTTTGCCAAGCCAAAACGCAGTAAAACCTATCCAATACCATGTGGCTTAAATTGGTAGCCTTGCCAACCACTATGCTTCATGCCATGAACAGAGCACAATATCATTTGATAAGTATGGGTGTAGTGGATATTAACCGAAATGAGTTGGAGGGTTTGTTGGTGAATTTGAGGCCCTCTGGTCTGTAAAGCTATTTGTAAAGATACTGCTGTTCCAGCTGGCGTTATGTGTGCTGACGTACAACAACAAGAACAGCAACAAATTTTGTAACTACGAACAAAGGTCTAAAAGTATGTAAGTGTTTGCTTATGTAAGCATGTATGTCTGAATTGTGTGTAAACTTTCGAAGCTGTCAGTTTTGCCCTTTTCATTTTCGACCATCGACTGATTGAAGCGTTGCATGAAAGCTCCATGCTTGCAGGTGTTGGTGTATTATATTTGTGTAAATTGTAACTGCAAGACTTCACTTTGATGTAACTATCGAATTGCCTCCGTGTGGAAATAATTTTTCTGTTTCTCAATTTTCAGTTTGGTATTTTTTCTTATCAGTCCATAGTTTTCCCTCTTTGTGGATTTGTTGTTTTCTGGGCAATCACTTTGCATGCTGCGTATACGCAGTGGCTAACAGTATTTCGGCTTACCTGTAATAACATGTATACGTGTGAGTTTATGGAGTGTTCAGCAAATTTCTATCAGTCAAATTTGTGTAATTTCCAAGTTTCTAATTACCATTTATAATTGTGTATACAAAACTACCTGTTTATTTGCTGGCGCCTGATGTATATTGTTTTCCAAAAGCACCGTTATTTGGTAAATTTGTGTGTTTGTATAACATGTATTTCATAGCGACAGTCGGAGTCTCAGTAAACTATAAAGTATTAAAGGTGTATGTGAAATATGAAAAATGCAAAGAAAGAAGACTTTTGGCATATATATGATACTTTATTCAGATAGCCCTTTTAAAACTCTATGAAAATCCAAAGAACTGATTGAACTTGAATTTAATATATGGCGGAAATAAAGTTGGTTTAATTTTTTTTTAGAACTCGAATTTGCTTTGGTGGCAAAGTTAGTTCGAATCAGTCAATTTTTTTATGAGAAATAAAACTTAACATTAAAGTATTTCCTGAAATGTGAATAATTCAGTTTTAGTTTTTATTCAAGACATATTATCCACACTTCATCAAAAATGCTACTGTGGAAGACTTTGCATTATAAAAAATTTGCAAAAAACAGACCAGTATTCTACATTTATAAACTTTAAAGTATTAATGAAATAGAAAACATAAGACCGTTCCGATCTCACAATTTTTCACCGAACTGGCACCCTTTTAAGAGTAAAAAAAATTGTTCGTTACAATTTCTGTTAATGTTTTCATTAAATTTGACAAAACCTTAACAGCACATTTAAGAGATAATAAGTACACACATACCTTGGCTTATATTTGAGTACCCTAATTTAGCTTTCCATCATTTAAATACACAATGAAACCCTCATTAAGATTATATGATTATGCTGTCTCTAAGTTGTAGAATTCTTTTTAATTATGCACACGAAAACCTGGTGAAAGATTTAAGCAGTCGCAGAGGAAAACATAAACAAACAAAATGGCAGCACAGAAATACGTACTCATAAACGAGTAATGATGTATTCGTGTGTATGTAAATTTATGAGGGTGGTTCTGCTCTTGTGGATATACGACTATTGTATAACTATTCCCTTATTTGTATACGTATTGAATTCTTTAAAATTATTATAACCCTCTTACATGCAAGTAGGATTTCCACAAGCTAGTGCAGATTTTCTTACAAAATACGTTTTTATATCAAAATATAGAGATACTGAGGTCACTAAATCCTATTTAACAGTCCGGTATTTGAGCAAAAGTCCGAGCCGAGGATGACATTAAATAGTTGTACGCTGGTAACTCGTGTTACTATAAACTGCTTAAGATAGATCAAAAATCCTCATATACAGACAAATGCTTTGAAGTTGTCACATAACCGTCAAGGCGGTGTTATTCAATTTCGGTAGATAAGTTTCGGTGATGATTCGAACTTAGTCTTACGAAAGCTGAAAAGACATATAACCAAAGTTGGTATAGTGTGTCTTCTATCAGCTATCTTTGACAATTGGCGTTTCGCAAAATGTACGGTGCCAAGAAACATCACCCTTATCCTTACAACAACCTTGTATGTAGATGTGCATGTAGGTTTGTAAGTGTGCAACCTTATTGCAGTGGGGCCAGAATAAAAAATAACAGAATTCGGCTTAAACATATTAAAAAGGTTATGAAAAAAGTTGAATACTCAAACAGCGCGCAAAGCATTCAACTTGTGTGAGCTTGCACGGTCGCTTGGCTATTTGTTGTTTTTACGAGGTGTTCTGTCGGTGGTGGTGGTAATAGTTAAGCAGCTCTGAGGCAGCATTACCTAAGCTATTGAAGCCGAAAATTTTGACATTTCAAAAACAACAACAAGATCAAAAACAACAACAAAATGCTAAGATTATTGGCAAATAAGCAATATATATTAGTGTGGAGCGAAAAACAATTCTTTTTTTGCTTAGCTAGAGGGCTAACACTGTAAATTAGAAAAAAGAAAACTTTTGTACAAAAAAAAAACTTTTAACATCTAAAATTGGATCTATGGAGACCATATGGAGGATTTAAGCTGATAAAATCATAGTTCCTCTAGATTTTAATTTATTTAAAAATTACTAAGGTGCAGTAACGAAGCGATGTATATCTATACAAATCCTAGACTCATAGGTCAAGTTTGTTTGAATGGAATCACAAGAAAATCTAATGCTAATCTGTATTGCTAGTACTTGTACAAACAAATGGAGATAGTACCTATAATAAAAAATTTATATTCTAACGCTTACACACTGTACTGCGACATGTGCAGGGTTGCCACCGTTCGTTGATTCCATTTGCTTACTTTCAAAGTTTTTAGGCTATTATAATTTGGCATACCAAAGCTTAAGAATATGTAACAGTAGTCTACAGTTCGGTCCGTGTACGAGGTATGTTCAAAGGAAAGGGTGAATTTTGATTTTTCGCGGGCTGCGTACATTCGATTATCGATATTTTGTTTTTGTTATAATCGGACACATATGTTTATCATGTGCTTGACAAAATGGAATAAAGTGCTCCAAGGCACTTGAAATATTTACTGTGGCATTCGATGAGTCCACTTTACTTAAAGTGTTTATAAGTGGTACAAACGCTTTATAGAAGGAAGAGAAGATGTTGATGACGATGAGCATCCTAGGGGTCGCGAATATTTTGGGTATGAAACGTGTGGCAGCGAAATTGTTCCTCCCACTGGAAGCTGGCAGATGAGTCAAGACCGAAAAAGGCACGCCAGGTTCGATCATATATGAAGATTTTGTCCACTGTTTTTGTTGTATTACAATGGTGTGATGCATCATGAGTTTCTGCCAAAGGGTCGTAGAGTTAATAATTTCATGGTTTTTTGGTAAAAAAAAAAACCGTAATTATACCTCAACCACCACATTCACTAGATTTGGCTGGGGGATTTTCAGAAGTGCTTCGGGGATTTTAAAATGGCACAAGTGTATTATATCCGAGGGGGAATATTTTAAAGGGGACAAATTAAATATTGATGAATAAATAAATGCCTTTCAAAAGAAATTCAAAATTCACCTTTTCCTTTGAACACACCTCATATATTCTATTTAAAATTACTACGTTAGGCCTATTTACCATACATACTCCTAAAATTTTGAAAGAGGCCTTTTTACCAACTAAAAGGCTAAGCTTACATCCATACACACATAACTATTTCCTTCAAATATTCTTAGCTTTCAAATTTATCTGGAAGAACATCAGCTTAGGTGGGCTCTTTTGCAAATTTAATTCTACAAAGATGCGGAAGGAAAGTATAAACACCAGAAACCCTTCCATAATAGCCTTATCACTTTATGCTCATTTAATTTCCCCATTTTTTACGTTTTTGGCATGCAAACTTTACACAAAGGCATAATAGGGTTATGTATGTGTATACATTTATACTGATTGATGAATGTGTGTGTGTGTGAATATTGAAGACCCTTTCTTTCTCGCAAACAAATTTTTTCTCTCGCAAACAAATTTTGATTTAATTTTATAATTTAGCTAACACGTTGACCCGAAGTACTCGCACATTGTTAATGGCAGAATAACTGCAGCCAGGCATGCTGCTCATTTACACAATATAGGTATATGCAAATATAAAAGTAAGAAAATAAATATTTATTTGATATTTTCAGGATTGAGAACTGAAATGAAGATAACCGATAAAATCGGTAAAAAAAATCCATGCAAAATCTTAATAAAACGGTCAAAGAGAATGTAGTCTAGCTTTCAGACTTTCATATATATGTACTTGTAATATATTTGTCTTTAATTAAATAGAGGGTCGTGTAAAATTGTAGTGTCGTAAGCTAAGTGACAGAAAAACGATTTTATGGCACTCAATAATACGAACATTTTTGTATACTAATTGTTTTTATTAAAGCTGGCAAATATAAAGATACGTAATTTAAATTTGAGCCTAAATATATATAATATTTTATTAATATGAAAAAATCTTAAATTTCTCATATATGTAGACAATGTTATATGTAACAATTTGAAATTCGTATTTTTCCTCATCTTTCATTATAACAAAGAATGAATGAGATCACGAGAAATTATTGTACTCATAACATTGCTGACATTGCTGACATACTGACGATCTTGTAGGCACTCTTCTGCCTCGAAAGAAATAAAGTGTGCCGTTGGCGAATACATGACGAACCTGCAACATAAAGACAAATACATATATTATATCAACAGGGAGTAGAGCAAGAAATATTAAAATGCATATATTATATAATAAAAGAAATCTTAATGTAATGAATATCCGTTCGGAAAAATTTACAAAATGTTTGGTGTTAAAACTGTTTAATTTTTTTAAATTTTTCGAAGGCAATGAAAAATGTACATGCAATATAAAACCCTGTTTCTTTTGTTAGCGGTGAATGGTGCGATGTTACGACAGTTGAGAGTTACTACCAGGTATGAAATTCCGGGATCTTAAAAAAAGTTAAAAACAATAGTCGGCTATTGGCATCAAAAGCACAGTTGCACCAGCAAGGTCAGTCGGGTGAGAGAGCAACGATTCGAAAGTTGAAAATATGTATATGTTTTTATGTATTCGTAACAGCAGCGACAACAGAATAGCATTGACTTCTATCGTTGCTCGGTGCGATATCGTACCTGAGCTGTTGTTGTGTAAAATTAAATGTGAAGTTGCTACATTCTCTGACCGTCCGTAAATTTTTCTGACTAAAAACGCCATTTTTCGCAGTATTTTCTGCTTGTCTCACTTTATATTTAACGGCACGCGCTTGATTTCACCGCACGTCTCCACCCACGAACCGTCAGTTTGTACCGTCGTTGCCATATCGCAATAACTCACTGATTGAATTTGTTTGAAACTGACTCTCCGCGCTTTCTTCAATGATTGTTGCTTTTATTGTCATTTGCTCCTACTATTTTGTATTTGATTTTCTATATTGATGGCAGCTGTTTCGCTTTTTGTTACTGTAATATGCATTGTTCATGCTGCGGCTCATGTTTTTAGCTTAGGGTTCCTACTCTCGCCGGCCACTGGCTCCGACAATGGACTGAATTATTATTCTTCTGGTATTAAAGTGTGCGCCAACTTTAAAGCAACAACACAATTTAATATTTTTAAAAAAAGGTTACATTCAAGTGCATTCGTTCTATTGTATCTATGAACATATACATGCATATTTATATATTTTATACGTTTTGTTTTGTGAATTCTATTAGAGAAAACTGAATTCGTATGCAAAAACTTTTAAATTTACATTGATAAATATTTGAGTAGTGATTTTGTTGTAGAACTACATTACTGTATGGATACTGGCCCGTCATTCAACTTGAGATATCTTAAGATAAATGAGTCAAAGAAACTCAACAATCAGATACTCAAACTGAGAACTTCTGAAGGTGTACTTAACCTTACTACACTAAGCGATCTAAAGATATCCTGTCTACATAACGTTTTTGAGAATAGCAAATGCATTGAACAAGATGTCGTGAGAAACAAAAGCAAAACATCAGCTATAGTTAGTAAAACAATCACTCCTTTAACAGTTTTTCGTGAAAAATTTAATAATAGTTAAACATGAAACAGTTGATGTAGCTTTCTTGTAAATATTCTTCTGAATAATTATAACGCATTGTCCAATAATCAACACATACAAAAGAAAAGAGTTTCAAAGCCTTTCAAACATTCTCAATAAAGCCTCTGCTTCATATAAGCATTTTTTTATTGCCCTTTTCAATTCCATTATCGTTACTACTAGGCTACTTTAGATAGCATCAATGATATTATTATATAATATAGTATTGGCACTTTTAAGTTCTATCTCAGCTGTCAAGTTTTATACTTCTGGCGTATTCATTTAGCGAGTCAGATCGCACTTTTAGCGGTTTTCAATATAACCGTTATATGAGGAGTGAGAGTGTTTAAATCCGATTTCATCCATTTTCACGATGCCACACCAATAAAACTAAACGAAACTACATACTTGGGCCAAAACGAATGAACAGAAAGCTGCTGTATTTGCAAATCATTTGAGAACCACATTTACCACCAATGATGGAAATGAGATAAACTGTGAAAATAGTTGGTTGGATCCACACATCAGCATTTCTCCAGTTACTAGTAAAGAAGTTAAAAATATTATCGCGAATACAAGGCTAAAAAAGCATCTGGGTTCGATTTAATAACCGAAGAAATACTATGCAATGTTCCAAAGAATTGTATAAAGAAACTCGTGAACATTATTTGCATTATGCCTAAGAGGCGTCCCATCGCTTTATAAAGTATCGTAATGATACTTAAGCCGGGTAAACCACACGATGTTACATCATTCCAATATCACTGCTGCCAGCTTTGTCGAAAATCTTTGGGAATGTACTCATAAATATGCTAAAACCAATAATCGATCGTAAACATCCACAGCACATACCAGCTCATTAATTCGGCTTTCATGACCACCATTCAACAATTGATCAGGTGCCGTGAATTTTTAATTTCGTTGAAATTACAATGGATAAAAAGAATGTTTTTCCGCGGCCTTCTTGGACGTTCCTCAAGCTTTTGACAAAGTTTGGCATTTAGGTCTGCTGCTCAAATAAAAATGAATATTATCAAATAATATTGCGAAATAATTGCTTGCTGCTTTAAAGATAGATACTTCCGCATTAAACAAGAGGATGCATACTCTAACCTGCAACCGATAGAAGCGGGTGTTTCCCAGGGAAGCGTGGAGTGAGCTTGATATGAATTTTGCCAAACTTTTCCACCTAGTTGGCAGGAGATCCAGTCCACAACAAGTTGTTAAAATACAATCAAGTTCTAAAGCCAGTTTGGGCTTACGGAGGCCAACTATGGGGTTGCTCAAGTCAAAGCTCTATTGCCTGTATTCAACGCTTTCAAAGTAAGGTACTAAATACTTTAGTTAATTCTCCTTGCTACGATAAATCTGCTGACCTACACCGTGATCTAGATGTGTATTCAGTGTTAAAGGAAATATTCAAAATTCCAAAGTCTCACGAACTGCTTAGACAGCATGACAATGAGGAAATGCCGAGCTAGAAATCCGGTTGAAACGCAAGAAACCTTCCGACCTAGTAAGGAGACAGTAGCAGCAAATGTATTTCAAAACAAAGTCACTCAAGAGAAGCAAAATCTGTAAATGAGTCGTATAAGGGATATGGGGAATATTGAACCGATTCCAAACATTTTTAGGACTAGGTTGCATTATTATTAGAAAAAGATGCCTGTTTTCTTTTATTAAAAGATCTAACAAAATTAGGTATAAGGACAGTCATGTACATTGTAGTCCTTATATTCCATATTTTGGAGATTGAAAAATTATGGGCCTATTATGACCATTTTAAAAACTCCATTGACGCTTTCTTACCGTGGTTGTAGACGGATTTTATCCATTTTCAAACTGTAGCATAAGAATGCGCTATTCAGTGCTATGCAATTTAGCGAAATACTTCTAATATTGATTTAGAATTCGGTACTTTAAGCTTACATAGGGCAGGAATAAACTACTTAGAGCTCATTTTTTTAGCTCAAATGTACTTAAGCAAAAAAGCTAAAAGTTTTTCTAACATTTCCCACTACTTCATTTTAAGGAAATTTCTATTCTAAAGTCGTACACGGCTTAAAAAGACAAAAGATTTTATAACGGGAACAGAAAAAAATCGTAAGAAATTTGGAAATAAAAAAGGTTATGTATACCCTAATCTGCAAGCTAACTGTAACAGTAACTATTATCAAAGTTTGAGATAGATAAAACTTACCCTTGATATCGAGATGATGGGATTATTGTCCTTGTCTAGCCATTCGACATTCGGCGACGAATTGCCGTGCGCTATGCAATCGACAATGCTGCCGGCATTGTTGCCGAATTCGATGCGCGATGGCGGCTCATGCAAGAAATTAAGTATTTGATTGTCAAAGTAGTTGAAAGCATCTGCAAAAAGAACACAAAAAACTAACAAAACGAAATTAGATAAATATGAATCCTGATATAGCAAAACAATTTGTCGCATTATGAATATGTGTGCATTTACAGTTATAGATGGCAAATTACTGATAAAATTTGTAGCATTCAAAGACTTTGTTTATGTGTCAAAGAACTTAACGTTAAATGCGATGATTGCTGATGCTAACTGTAGATAACAGAAAGTTACAAATCCTCCAGGCGGTTAAATGCATAAAAACCAGACAACAATCATGTCCAAGCAACCTAAATATTTTCTTTATTTAGCAAATTTTTTCGCTATCCTTTTTTACTCCCGCTCTTCAGAGCTTTCAACTGCTTGCTTAGAACCATTTTATATGCTTTGCATTACTGTCGCTCGGGTTACGAGCATTAGCAGCAGCGCCGGTTGCAAATTCTTATACATCATGTCATAGCCCTTTGGAAAACCCCCCTTCCAAGCAGTTTACTTCCACCAAGCTCTTTACAATGTTAACTCTTACAAATGCGTTTCCATCGCCGCGTTTGCTCCAGAAAGACCTTTTAGAAATGACGAGTAAACATATGCTGTGTTGGCAGGGCTTGCCTTTGCTTTTTCTCTGCGTCGCTTTGGTTTCTTGTTTGTTGGATTGGACGATACGGAAGGGTTTGGTGACAGCAAATTGATATAAAAACGCATCGCTCATATTTATAAGAGACACATGCTAGTCTACAAACAGCAATGGGTTCAAGTGCATTCTTTACAAATCTTACTTGCAAATCCCGGGTAAGTTGCAGGCCTAGTCACACACACACATACACCTTCTTACCAACTTACCTTTGTAACTCCAACTCCATTTCCGCAAATGGCCTAAAAGCCGCACGAGCAAACAGGAAATTGTAGGGAACAAACTCAATAAAGACGTGTCGCTGTGCAACAGTGCAACTTGCAACATATGCAAGAACGCAACATTGCAAGTCTTGTGCATATGGTAGATAAGAGGTAAGGTTGAGCTAATTACGATCGAAATCGCACCTTAGAGAGTTTTGCAATTTGTTGGAGTACAAGAATTGTGAATTGTTTTGGAATAACATATTTTTTCATAAATTTTACGGTCTTCAAAATAAATTGTAGTTTTTTATTTTAGCCGAAATAATTATTTTAAGTTCCTTCCTTAACTTTAGTTTTTTTCTTCAATGGAATCATGGCGTGTTCAATGAAGTTGGTATTTATAGTCATATACAAATTTTGTCGACACAAGAACTTGATTTTGATGGCTCAGCTTACTTCGCTGCTATCTGCTTTAATGGTTCGATCTGAAGAATATGTTCGGAAGCTGTAGCATTGCCTAGGACAATAATCCATGCCGATTTAGTGAAGATATAAAATTTTTTCATACAATAACTTGATTTTTACCGACCAGTTTGACATTTTACAAATTTAAAAGTTAGATCGATATCTCAAAAACTAAGAGACTAGTTCGCGAATATAGAGATAGACAGACTGATAGACCGACGGACATGGCTAAATCGACTCAGCTCGTCACGCTGATCATTAATATATGTATATATAATATTTTGTAGAGTCTGTGACTTTATTTCTGGGTATTGCAAACCACGTGGCAAACTTAATATACCCTATTTAGTATCAGCTTACTTGCTCGTCTTCAGTCATTTGTGTTTTAATCAACTGAGATAGAACAATTTCAAATGCATTCTTGATAACTACCGGCAGCAGAAAAACGGTTAGTTTGTAGTAATGTTCCTTCATCTCATTTAGCAAAATACAAAATGATTCTTCATTTAAATGAAAATAACATTACTTATGAAACATTATTTAAAAGCCACTTAATTATGAATAAAACTTTGGTTACTTGGTGTTAGGAAGTTCCAGGGTTTGAGTGATCACGAAAGCTGTTTCGTATGCGTAACATATCAGTTTTGGCCCCAACATTTTAATAATTTTTCAGCTTTTCAGAAGCAATAACTGAATTAAATTGTTTTTATTTTTCTGTAAAATCATCTTTAAGCGTTGACGACATCAATGAAACTTCGACTTCAAATAGTTGAAGTTCGTAACACCAAAAAAAAAATTGAACTGCTTCAACTTCAGATCAACTGATAGTAGTTGAAAACCGTAATTAGAGTATTAATATATCAAGCTTCCTGCGTATAAAAATATTTTACAATAAAGACATGTTTATTTTCTTAATAGCCGACGGAAAGCATGAATATCTTATGATGAAATAATTTTGTATAAAAATATATTATTTTCACAATACTTGGGATAATAGTTCTTTGATGTAAATATTGAGAGAGCTGAAAATTTGTCGATTCATATTGGATTATTATGATGTATTAACGGGTCTAGAAACCTATTGGCAGCTTCTATTTCCGAACTCTTAGCGAGTTCTTTGAGATCAATCGTTTATGTTCCCATGGCACCAGCTTTTATTTATGATATAGTGAATAATTTTTAGTTAAGGCATCTCAACAAAACTATTTTACCTTAAGAAACATGTTGCGTGAGTACAACAATTAACACCAAACGGAAGAGATACTTACAACTACTCTTCTTTTGTAGTCAAGCACGAGTCGCAAAACAAAAAAAAACTTTGAAAAAAAATTAAATCACAAATGTGTCGTTGTTATTGGTTTTGTAGAGATGAAGGTGAAATTAAACTGAAACCAAGATGATGTAATTACTACTGTGGTTGAGAAATTGAAAATGAATATGAAAGAGTAAAAGCTCTGCTTAGCCGACTTAGAACTTCTTTGCAGCCCACAACTTACACTGTTCATTGCTAGATTACATCGACATCGATGATGCCGCTGATGACGAGGCGTTTGCTGGTGATGACGCTGCAGTTGAATGAGGGAATCAAGTGCAAAAAAGGAAGAAAATATTGTGTGACAGTTGAATGTGATAGCTCTGACGGTAATGACAAACTTAAGTTGATACCAGGGAGAGAGAATGTGTAGGTAAGGTACAGGTAGCACTTACAGATTGAGGTATGTGTTTGTGGCTTTGCTTACTAGTTACTAAAATAGTGCCGGCTAAATGATAATATAGTTGTAAAAATCGTGAACGGCGTACCAATAAAAAGACCTACGGTCATGAACTGATCGTAAAATAAAATTTTCTGCTGTTGTTCACATTAAAGTTTATTGGTGCCAACAATTGTGTACGCTGGTTGATGGCACCCGCAGAGATCGGTTGATATTTGCTTCGACACTGCTTCGATTCTGAACTTTATGGTTTGTTCCAGCGAAATTAACCTATGAAGATTGATCTAACAGAGAAGTTATAATCCTCAATGACGCAAACCAAACCAACATCTGTCTTACAGTCTTGTTCGTTTGGTAACATCAAGGCTTATACAAAAATAAGAGACAGACTAAAAGAATAGCAGAACTGATTTCTAAGCCGGTAAAAATATTATCCTGAATATAAATAAAACTAAGTTACTCTTTGATTTCTTATAATGAGTTCTCTTGATTCTATAACGCATTAGAGATCTTAGAAGAAATTTAATTGTTCAGTTAATGCATATATGTGCTTATATGGTGCATACATACACGCATATATCCTATGGCTGTATTTATGCTTTTGTATATATGCATCACATATATTTGAAACCAATTATGTATTGATTGATACGCTTGAAATTTTGTTTGCTTATCGTATTCGCACATGAACACACGGACAAATAGGCATGTCACACAACCACGCTAGGTTTTAGATGTGTTCGCAACCCGCAGAGTTGAGTTGATTGAACCCCGAGAATTGATAGATAAATATTTGCAGATGCATTTTCAATCACCGATATATCAATATCGTCGGGATCAGCATTGACACTGCTATTTAGAAAATAAATTGTATGTCAAAATTTTAACAAAGTGGGTACCAATATACGTATATAGGTATATAAATTAACGTCAATATTTTTTGTGTTGTGTTCACTTTACAAAATAAAAATTTAGTTGGAGGAAAAATCTTAAGGAAATGGATTTAAATAACTTTAATAGCTTTCTGTAAACATTTATTTGTGTTTTAATTTTTTTTCCACAAATATATTGAATTATAATTATTAAGAGTTAAATGCTATTAATCATAACAAGGGGGGACAGTTATGTCATAAGCTCGAAAGAGATAACCATTTCCTTTTCATTTCAATTTAAATTGGGATCTCAAATATGTAACAAATAAATGTTGAAAACATCAAGGTGTATTTTAAAATATTCTAATTGTGGTAGTATTACGAAATAAATTAGTATTATCAAAAAATCCAAAATAAACATATATCCTTATATTTTTATTACATGTTAGTGCTAACAATAAGCTAATTAGTTGAAATATGGAGCGAACTGCATTGCGGTCCTAAAAAAATCAAATAAATATATCTCAAGCTGGTTATCAGGGTTAAATATGTAAATTATTTGAAATTTGAACAATGCTAATGAGCTCATTGGGGAGAAGGTATCAACTACAAGGACAGTCCAATAAACACTTAACTTACAAATAAAACCCGTAATTTTTGAAAAAAAATGGATATAGCATATTTTTTCAACACTAAAGAATATTTGCTTAGACCAAAATATTTATCTAATACAAGTGTATACTTTTAGAAATATTCCTCCGTGGAATTTACAGTTGTATTAACGAATAACGGATTCAAAATATACGATCTAGTGATAGCGTAAAGCTGATTACCCGACGTATAGCTCTTACTATTTCTCACTTCTTTATGTCTTCAAAAAGTTTGACTTTTCGTCTTAACCTAATGTTAACTTTTTAACATAAATAAAGCGCTGTAAATATGAACTACCGTTATACACTTGCCAGCGTTCACTTGCATACTAGGGTGGATCGTTTTGAATTTAATACGTTTTTAATTTGGAGATTCGAATTGTCTATAGTAGACTTGTACCTATGGCATTATGGCATTCGTAAATAAGAATTAAACTGCAGATAAATGTAGTTTAAAATGTGCAAATATAAGACCACGAAATTACAAGCCATTTAATTGCTA